CAAATATCCATAGCAATAATAATTCTGAAGCAGGTATATATAAAATAAACTGTCATAACTGATCGTCACAGTACACTGGGGGAACTTGCAGAAATCTAAAAAGAATTTATATATGAACAAAAAAGAATCTTATGCACGACAAATTATCAAATGTATTAGTTACAGATAGAAATAAATTCAATTACAACTTTGATCTAAAAACTGGTATATTTATTGAAAGCAAAATTAAGTTACTCACAAAGAAAATTCTCGAGAGTGCCGCTATCGAAATTATCGAAATATAAATCTGCGCGTTGGAATTTTTCAGATATTTCCGTTTCTAAAAGAATTACTCTATTTTCCAAGCCAATATATCTAACGATAAAATTGTTAAAAAACTAAAAGAATTGGTTTAATTTATAACTCTGTGTTATTTAAAATATATAAGACATGGATTAATCCCAAATTAAATAATAGAAATATTAATTACATTATTAAAAAAAAAAACAAAAAAAAAACAACAACAACAAAAAAAACACCATGTACTCACTTTCGTTTATTAGACATTGAATTACGCCAGTTCGCAACCGCCATAATTTACGAAGACTTTTCAGTTAACCTGATGAATATTTATAAACATCTTTTAAATTGTGAAAAACTAACAACATTATTCTCTTTTTGTTTAATAAATACTTGTTGCAAAATAAAATACTCACATTTGCCTTCATAACGTCCACCAAAGGATGAAACATGTCAGCTAAGATAAGTTTCTCTTTTTCGTTTTATCCTTTTACAGGTTCATTCTACCTGAAGTTTTTATATATATATATATATATATATATATATATATATATATATATATATATATATATATATATATAAGTCAAAAACAAAGCAACTATAAGACACTAATAAACCGAAAACTTTACAAAGTAGGCATAGTGTGCCTATGCAAAAGGGATACAGTCAAGTGGCATTATAGATTTTATAGATGTTGCAAAAATAGATTTTATAGATCTTGCAAAAAGATTTCTATTGTTGTCTGGTGGTCAGTTAACCTGACCAGACCATTTGTCATTATTTGTTTTGTCTCCATTAAAAAGTAATGTCCATCAACATAATGTATGAATATATGTATGTATGCACATACACACGCACACATACATATATGCTCACATAAATTCGGATATAACTAAAAGTATATCTTTAAAAGGACAATATGAATAAAAACAAAGGATACCTTATCTGAGCCTATACATTTCGTATTTTGATGGACTTTATCAAGGGAAATATAAGGATTTTATTCTGCAAAAAATATTTGTAATGCCATTTTTATTTCTGTTTTTACAAAATAAAATCCTTACATTTGCGTTGATGAAGTCTGTCATAGGACGAAACGCGTCGACAGTAGTTTAAGAAAATTTAGAAATATAGTCACACCAACACACCAACCAATGATTTGTTATGAGCAACAAACTGTTAACATGTTCTAAATGTCAAATCCAAGCCTGAACCATATCAGCAACATTTCTAAAAATCATTTGACGTATTTCTACCTTAATTTCAGAAAATCTATCAGGAATTGTTTTAATTCAGAGATTGTTTTGGTTTGATCCAGTAAGCAAGCTCTTCCAGTACGACCCACAAGAAAAATGTCTATTGGTGTTAGGTCTGGTGATCATGAGAACCCCTCAATTGATCCACGTCCACCTAAGCTCATAATTAAGATTTTTGACCATTCCAGAACGCGTCAACGATACTTAATCTTAATCTATATTAAACTACTCCAATTTATTTTTTTTTTATTTTTCACTAAAAGTTAATAAATAAAACAAGTAGTTACTTTTGCCTCACCGGTAATTTTCAATGACTTGTTACCACTTTATCACACAGATGTTGGTACCTTCGAGCAAAGTAAAAGAAGGTCGTTACTTTAGTCGTACCCTATATTATTAACGGTCTACAGTCTGTAATGAACTTTGGTTCACATGCTATTATAGTGGAATAGATTTTGGCGTCACATGACTAAACAGATTTTGCAATTTAAAAAATAAAATTCTGTAGAAAAGATTTGCAAAAGACTCATGTAGTATGCAAATTCTTTTGTACCTTGAGGATAAGTTGGTTGTCGAATGAGATAAGCGAGAGAAATTAATGTGATTTACGACAACCAACTTTATCCTCAGAGATCCCCAACAACACTCTCTCCTGACTCTCCTCTTTTTTTCTTTTTAGTTGAACTGATGAAGCCAAAGGGAACATAAGCTAAGCATTTCTTCGGCGAAACACGTCTTTGATTAAAAAAATTCAACTTCGTTTCATCACACACACACACACACACACACACATATATATATATATATATATATATGTATGTATTATACTAATAATTATACTCGGTTAGTGAAAAAACCCGGATAGCAAAATTTGCAAGTATATCAAAACAAATTGTTATCAGAGGAAAAGATTTGAAAAAAAAGCTATGGCTTTTTAGAATATATACATATATATATATATATATATATATATATATATATATATATATATATATATGTGTGTGTGTGTGTGTGTGTGTGTGTGTAAGTAAAGTAGAGTAGATAAATTGGTCAATAAAACAAAGTCAGACGAAAGGGTACCGATGAAAGTAGTACGAAAAAAATTATTAATATCAACCAGGTGAAAAAAAATGAAGCACGGATATTGAGTTTTTTTTTTCTAATATATATATATATATATATATATATATATATATATATATATATATATATATATATTAATCGGTCTCACCCCATGCAAGCCAGCAAAGCCACTAAGACAAGGGGTTACTGGCTGTGGAAGAATTACGAACAGAAGCATTAATAATGGGCGCGTAGAGGAAAGAGTAATTCTGGAGAACAGTAGATAGCAATTGACATTGCAATTAAATTTTGGCAGAGTAAGGTTGACTGAAAAACATGAAAGGAAGTTTCACAAGCGAGAAGTGCGAGAATATATATATATATATATATATATATATATATATATATATATATGAAGAAATATGGTTTTAAGGTGTGCTATATTTATGGGAAAAAAAGTGTTCAATATCGGAGATAGAGCGAATGTAAAGACTCAGAGGCGACAGACGCAATCGTCGAAGTGACGATTGTGCCTAGTATGAAACAGCCTGTCGCCTCTGAGGGTTGACTTCAATGTTCACTTTTATATCTATCTATCTATCTATCTATCTATCTATCTATCTATCTATATATATATATATATATAGTAATATTTATGTGAGTTTGTCACCCTGGGTTTCACGCTTTTGCGAGAGTTTGTCTGACGATCGCAAAAACGTGAAACCTCGGGTCACAAACTCACATCAATCCAACTAAATCTAACTATATGTTAGCTCTATCACTGATATTGAGTGCTTTCCAATAAGTACCGCGCATATATAAATTATAAATGATATATATAATAAATTGTATATATATATATATATATATATATATATATACATTTCACATATAAATATGTATAAATATTTGTAATATTTTTATGTTTGTGATATATATAATACATACATACATACATATGTCCATATATTTGCTTACAGATATATATATATATATATATATATATATATATATATATATATATATATATATATATACATGCAAAGGTAAGTCAAAATTATCTACGCCTTCGCCATAACATATTTTTAGACAAGAATGCGGATAATTTTTCACTTTCTTCTGTATATCACACACACACACACACACATATATATATGATGTGTGTGTGTAATAAATATCTATATCTATATATATGTCATATATATATATATATATATATATATATATAAAATGATCGATAGATAAGTAAATAAATAGTTACGAATACACACACACACACACACACACACATATATATATATATATATATATATATATATATATATATATATATATACAACATTGTGTTTTCTGTACAAGTTATTGCATTTATGTGATGCTTAAATTTCCTGAATAAACTGTTTTTGAAAAAAAAATCCGTCGTAAATCCAAACATCGTATCAATATGACGAAATTAGAATAAAATCGTTTATATTTGAATCCTGTTATCTATCGATATATATCTTAAATCTTTATATATTTACATATTCTGTATATTAACCGAAATTGCTTATTCGCTAAACGTTTACAATCTAAAAATATATATGAAAAACATTATTCATATACAAAGATATATAGAGACATTCAGTTAATACTGTTTGCTTAAATTCAATTTTGTCATCAAGAGAAAAAAAAAGAAAAGATTTTTACATATTAGATTGCTTCAAAAGAAATATTTCATTTTTGGAGACAAGATAAAATCCATTTTAAATATTATATGAGTTATATACATTGGTACATCAATAAGTTCGTAACTGAATAACGGAAAACATTTATTTGAAATAGTTATTCCAAAAATATTTATCTTTCAATACATTTAATTCATTGGTGATTATCGCATTATTGGTCATTAATCGCATCGATTGAACATTATACAGTGAGCATTTCAGATAAAAATTAAGCATCAGGTTATTAACTTATTGATCCACCTTTATCAATTCTTTCATCCTTTCTCTACTATACACGTAAGCGAATCAATAAGTCAGTAACCTTGATCAGAAACAATATTTAGCGTAATACATTTATTTTTCGACATGATCTCTTTCCTTGTCAATGTACTTAATTCAGTAGCGAATATTAACAACAGAGTTTGAACATTATACATGATTGATTGATTCATTTTTTTTACGGTTTATCAAATTTTTGTAGGTTATTTAAAGCCATAAAATATTTTTTACATTATATGTTTTTTTAGATGATAATGATTTAGAGATACAAGTTTTACTAATAAAACTGTGCAGAGAATATGCGGATTCATATATTTCCAAATTGCATGTGTATATAACGAACCTAACGAGGATTGGAACTCGGCTCTTCGATTAACAATTCCGAGCCTTTATCCGTTACACAACGTGCACATCCATGCTTGCAGCACTTGGTATTCTCAAGCGGTCACCTATCTAAGTACTGACCAGGGTTGACGTTGTTTAATTTCGGTGATCGTACGGGAACTGCTGTTTCCATAAGCCAAACGTTATACAGTGAAATTTTCAGATCAAATTACTGCAAAGAACTACACGCCAGGTTACAGATTTATTGATCCCGCTACGTGCATTTGTCCGCGAAATAATTATCATTATTAGCAAGAGGAAAATTTTCACTGTCAGACTAATTCTTTTATTCTTTGTTGAAACAATCTGGATTCGATGCCACCATTTAAAACCAAATCTCCGCACCCATATTGTTGGGCAGTTGAATGAAAATGTTGTGTTTTATCTCTTACTGGCTTTTAGACAAGACAATTACAGCAGATTTTTACTGCCAAAACCCAGTCACGTGTGAACATTTACACAGAGAAGTTTTGATTCGGCTAACTGAAATGACAATATAGAGCCACACTCAGTTAAATAAACACAGGAGAAGATTAAGACTTAAGTTTAGGACATTTTGCTGCATCGTTCTATCTCATCTGGTTTAGCACCTCACAATGAGCTCACACAATAGAGCCAATCGGACATTAGTTTTTGAGGCCCCGGAATGGTTTTCAGATAAATTATAGAATTATATGAATGTTATTAGGACTTTTTGTGAATCATTACACTCCAAACAAGGCGGTAAAACCACTAAGACACAAGGAATTGTTGAATGCGAAAGAACAGAAACATTACTAAGGAGAGAGGACAATAAAAGAGAGGAATCAATAAGACAACAGATGACGATTGATATTGCATTTAAATTTTTGAAGATCAAAGTTAGCTTGAAAGCATAAATCAGGAAAAGAGTTGCACAAGCGAGAAGTGCGAGAGAAGAAACTGTTAGCATAGAACTTACGGTTGCATTTAGAAAATTCAACTGTAACTTAATAAGACCTTGTCAATCTAGTACTGCGCTAAAATTAATAAGGTCTATGTACCATATCGGAGAGTTCAGCCGAACAAATATGGAAGTATTCATAGAAAAGATACAAGGAAGCTACATTACGGTGGTGGGAAAGTGACCGAAGTCGAGATGCCAGATCAGGTTCAATAATATTGCGTAGTCTTTTTGGATTTGATCAATAATCTCTAAATGTATAAACGGAGCACAGAGCCATATGTGACAGAAATATTCTAAGCATGGAGGAATTAAAATTGAACCGGCTCTCCGATTAACAATCCCGTGCCTTTATCCATTACGCCACCTGCACATCCAAGCTTACAACGCCTAGTATTCCTAAGCAGTCACCCATCTAAGTACTGACCAGGGTTGATGTTGCTTAACTTCGATGATCGTACGGGAACGTGTTTCAACGTGATGTGGCCGTACGCCCGTGCGTGTTTAACTTGATAAATGCTTGGAGTTAGGCCAGTTCTGAAATCCTAAGACTGTCTTCTTTCAGACTAGATATAGCAAATATTACTTAGGAAATATTCCCAAAATGCCAAATGTCCACTTGCGAGCTCACTGTGCACCTTAAATAAATAAATAATCGTGAAGTTTATATTTATTACGCCATCTTCTTATTTCAACGAACGCAGTATCTATTCTACTTAATCTCGCGTGTCGTTATGACCCCCGCAACCATTTAGGCTCGTTGAGACATGGCTCATTCCTCTTCGGGTTGCTTTCGAATTCAGAGTTTTTCTTCTTCTAGATTGGTTGCAATTTCATCGCAATAGAATAGTGGTTCTTGAGATTTGTTGAGTAATGGACCCCTATAAGAACCAGCCCTTCATAGACATATAGACAGACAAGCAGATACTCAGTCTGATTGGGCTTTTGCAGCACTTGCACATGCATTTATCCATACTGCACCCTCATGCACACTGCACACACATCACTTTTCAGTCAGCCACACTTGAAAGAAATTGTGGTTAATTAATCCTCAACATATGAGAAGATAATCGAGCCCTGATAAACCGTGGAAAAGGAGAATTATCACTTGCTTTTATGGAGTAGCAAAAGATGGCGGTCGTGCAGAGAATGATGACACACGTTTAAATGGTAAACATGGACTTAACAGCAAGTCAGTAGTGGTTGGGTCCTTTTTCTTTCAGTCAGTGGATGGATGCATTTTCTTTTATTTTTTTCAATAGGAAACCGTTTTAGGGACAAGGGTTGTATCAGTCAGTTATGTACCATGCATAATACACGCCCAGGCGATCATGTATCTTTCATTACTGACGAGGTAGATTTTTTTCCCGCAGTAGGTTGCCATTTCTTTTTGCAATAGACCAGTTGCCATCCAAGGCTATAGAACCCGGTTTACACTGCTATTTACCCACAGCTGGACGGAGAAAAGGATTCATACCTTTTCCAAGGGTATTAGCACGTAAGTGAATATAATGGATTGTATAGGGCTGTATAGCGAATAAAAATCTTAATTTTTTAACTCATTCTCACTAACTCCTGAAACCCCTCCCTTCTAGGGGGGGTTTAAAAAGACCCTAGGTTAAGAAGCCCTGTTATAAGAGAAATGGAAATATGAGGAACACTATTAATTCACTATCAGAAAGAGACAACTGAAATTCCTGGGACAAATACCGAGAAAAGAGGGATGCGTTTTCTTTCAAGCACTTGTATTTACTTTCATTTGTTTCAATAGGAAACCGTTGTTTAGGACAAGGATGGTATAGCGAATATAAATGTTAATGGACCCTAAGTTAAGAAGCCCGCAATAACGCCAAGTCTCTCTTGTTATTTAACCCATAGAAAGTGGAATCACGCTTTTCCAAGGCATGAAGTGAGCAAAATAGATTTAACCAGAATTTGAACTCGTCGACGTCACTGTCTACGTTACACCAGCAGCACATCCACAATTTAATTTATTTCTATTTAATTAAATCACGGAATTACTTCCTTTTGTGGCCAAAACTAAAAAAAATGTAGGTAAGAGATCAATTCAGCACTTTTAGATTTCTTCTCGTCTAGAACCTAAGATGCTTTCAACAAGGAATAAAGGAACAAAGGAATAGAAGAATAAAAGAACAAAGAATAAAGGAATAAAAGAATTAGTTATATTGCGTGCTTTTGTCAACAATAATAAGGATGATTATATTCTTCACAAATAATCGGAACGATTTTTTAAAATTCATCTGAACGGATTTTTATTGTCTGAAAAGAAAAACTGACATTACTTTTTGAGCAAAAAATTCCTATTAATCACAAGCAAAATTTAAAAACTTCATCATTATAATGATTTCTTAACATAATGATATACAAAATTTTCTTAAATTCAGAATCGCTGTCAAGATTTCCTCGTGAACGCATTCTTAGATGACATATTAAATCACTGTCCGCAAAGTGAATTTATCTGTGGCGTTTCTGCATGTGTATAGGCACAGAAAAAACACAGAGATTGGACATATGCGACCATCTTTATATCTTTTGCTTTTTATAAAGAGAATGGGCGTCCTATTTACTGTGAAATACGCTAATTCCTTAATGGAATAAGAGTAAGTAGCAAAGAAAGAAGCGATCAAATTTCTGATCAATAAGAAGCGAAAGGAAATGAAATTCTGTATAAGACACAAAGAAAAGGGACAAAGAAAAAACATTAGCACGTGAACATAATTTCTTTTTGTTTTCGTCTTGACTGCTTCCGCTCGCGAACATCAGTAATTTAATACATAGGTTTTAAGAGCGTGGTGGCATAACTCGTCTAATATAGAGTCTGATTCCTAAGCACATTAGCAAAAATATTTTCTACTAATATTAGTCGAGTGTGTATGTGTCTGGGCTTCTGGTGTTGACGCATACTGACACACGTATCAGAAAAAGAAAAACTCCACTGTAAGCAGGTGTCATGGCACGGATATATATATATATATATATATATATATATATATATATATATATATATATATATATATATATATATATATATATATATATATATGCGTACGTTTTGAGAATGGATTAGATTTAACACAAATTCACAGCGTCCCTTCTAATTACTGTCAGAATGTGCGCTGGTGTAATGGATAACGGGCTCAGAATGCCATAGTCAAGTTCGAATTCCAGTCTGGTTCATTGTATTCACTTATGTGTAAATATATTTGAGAAAGGCATGAATCAGGCTCCCCTACCCAGTTATCTATAAATCAATAGAATTCTGTGAATGACTTTCGTCCGTCTGCCCGTTCGTCACACCCTCTAAAATAGCCATACATTGACCGATCGAAACCAAATTTTTGGGAGGAGTGCAAACAGGTAAGGGGGTACAAATTACAGTTGGTTTTAATAGGGTGCATAGCTTAGTACAATAAATTTTCATTAATTTAAAAAAAAGTATCTGTCTATATTTAAAAAAAGTATCTGTCTATATTTCTGAGATGAGGTGTTATGTACACTATTTTCATTATTTAGACTATTGTCCTCATATTTGTCGCCATATTTATCACAACATTTCGGCCGTTGTACGCTCCGGCCTTCTTCAGGTGTTTGGACTGTCGAATTGAACCTTTTATTTCGCTCAGTTTGGTATACTGTTCTAGTTCCACTGCCATGTCTAATGGATGCCAGTTATCTCCTGTTAATTCCCCTCTGAAAGTTCTCCACTGCCTTACCAAGCTATTGAACTCACACTCTTTGGGTCTTGTCACTGGATCTAACTAACGCCTTTATCCACTGTGCCATATGTCCCCAAGGACATGGCACGTGGAACTAGAACAGTCTACCCCAGTGAGCGAAATAAAGGGTTCAGTTCGACATTCCAACCACCTGAAGAAGGCCGGAGCGTACAACGGCCGAAACGTTGTGATAAACATGGCGACAAAGATGAGGACATTAGTCCAAATAATGTAAACAGTGTTAAAAAAAAATAGTTAATGAAAATTAAAAAAAAAACGATTGGTATGCGAAATTGAACGCAACGTAGAGTTTGTAAATCTCGACAAAAATGTTAGCTATAACTTCAACAATACTGTAAAGATTTCAGCACGCTAACACGTATTGCAAAAAAAAAAAAAAATTTCTAGTTAGTTAAATATTAGGATTTGTACCTGGAAAAATACAAAAATTTTGGGAATACTTCACATCGAACCTTGTTATAATCTCAACACGTTTGTATTAAAATGCCTTTGAACCGTGAGGTAATTTTGGTGCAACGGCGAAATTTCTGACGCAAGGTTGGAAACTCCGGGGTTTCCCCTCATTGGTTTGCGATGAATTGTCCGAAAGAAGAAACACGGCTTCGATGTTTCGCACCCTAGTACGAGAGTAGGTCAGAGGGAAAAATATGCCACATGTTGATTCTTTGCAGACGTGTCAAGAAACGGAACTTTGATCCCAGGCAGAGTGCTGATGTACACGTAAATAATCATCGTCATTTTTTATACGTACTATGCGTGTATATAGAAGGGGGCGGGTTAAAAAAAGAGGCCCTCCCATAAACTAGATAAGTGTTTCTCAACATTTTTAAGCAATGGCACACCTAGGAGCAAATTAAAATATCACAGCACCCTTAGCAAAATTTTTAAATTTTATGAAATAAAAACATAGATTTTTCAAAAATACACTCACAAATGCGTATTTACTTTATTTTAATGTTTCTATTCAAGTATTTGTTCAGCTTATTTAGTGTGAAACCTGTGCCTGTGTTTTGTCGAATGTGCGATAAGCAAACCCTCATTTCTTCTCCAGTTGAAGGTAGTCTTTCTCGCTTCTTATTTTTGATGTTATTTAAGGTTGAGAAGCCGATTTCATATAAATAAGAAGTTTAAAATTGCAATAAAACTAATAAAGCCTTTTTATAGCTAATGTGAGATATTAATTTTGTATTGAAATCCAAAATGTATCAATTGATATCGTCGAATGTTTTATTTTGAGCCCTCGATCCCTAGAAAAATAGTGGCCAATTCTTCTTCTTCTTCACATAACCGAAGTCTAATAGTAGAAGGAGCATTTATGAAGGGATTTTGAATCCAATCATGGCACACTTAAGAGGATCGCGAATCACACTAGCTTGCCACGACACGGCGGTTGAGGATCACTGGGCTAGACGGTCATTTCGGATATTTGCTACACAACGGATGTGACGTCAATTGCATATTCTAACTGCTTTAGACCAGGACGTAGTACATATGTTTAAGAAAATTGACGCGTTGTAAAATCAGTTCACACGGCGTCCCCAGTAGAGATTAGATCAACTGTAACCGGGCAACGTTGAGAATTGTTTACTTGCAACAGGACTATGGGCACGTGTGCTTCTAGTCACACTTCCACATACAATACAACAATGTTGCGCACATCTCCAGTGGTATCACGAGAAGTTTACCTCGGATATTGAATGGAACTCTCTAGTGTTTAGAGTCGTTCCGCTATC